AAACATGTTTATTCAATGCAACAGATAATAATCACTTAAACATGTTTATACGTCATTTTTTAAACACTTCAACGTGTTTAATTTACAAAATATATAAACACTTAAACGTGTTTATGAGTTTTCAACATTTGTATTTGAAACAAACATAAAACAGTACAAAACACACTGTTCATGATGATGAGCATGTACATAAAGCTTAATTAATAAATGATTTAATGTTGAATAGAGATTCAAACTTTATAAACAATTATAACATTTATCAACACATTAATTTTGCTAACACACACACATGTAGATACATAATTCAATTCAAGTTGAAAGATAGAATTATCCAAAAAAAAAAAAAAAAAAAAAAAAACCTAGCATGAACATGTAAAACCTGAATGTAAACTAAAACTCAATAAAATTGGTGGCGCGGGGGAGGGGGGGGGGGGGAAGGGGGGTTGAAATAGGAAAATCGCTTAATAAAATGAAATGTTATTTTTCAGGAATAAAATTTTGAATCTTTATTTTAAAAAAGGGAAAGGGCGTCCATTGCATCTTTTTTAATAAAACAAACAAATTCATGGTTAAATATAATGCACAAAGACTGAAAATGTTATTTATTGCCTGGGTACGGAATATATACATTGTGTATGTATTGCAGTTAATAAATCCAGTTGTTGATACGATACGCAAGAGCATGCTCTACGTATGTACAATTTCTAAAACGAGGTAAATTATTGACAAACAAGTTGATGAAACAAGAATATCAGCTGTCTCGCTTAAAGTCATCATTTCGTAAGTTCTATGGTCAATACAATGACCTTGTCAGCAAATACAATTTATCATTGAGTCAAATGCTGACTGACGTTTTTCATACTAATTGTTAGGCCATTATTTACACACTGAATTGTCGACGGATTTTTCCGTTATTTCCCGATCATGACAAGGAGCACAAGGCGGATGTGACTGTTCGGCAGGGAATGCTCATTCCTCCATGGAACCTGATCCCACCTCTAATGTTTGGAGGTCCGTGTTTGCTCTGCTCCTATTTTGTATTGTTTGATGGACTTCTGAGCTTGAATACTGTTCGTTATCTCCATATATTTCATTGTAACTGTATAATTTTACTTTCACTAATATTCAGAGTTTTAACCAAATGAATAAAATTTCCAGTTTTTACCTGTAAACGACTAATTCATTAAATATTCTTGCAACTTTACAAGAGCTGCCGGGGTATCACTCACTAAATTTCATATAATATTCTAACCGAGTTAAACAGTCTCCTCTGCTTGTGTGTAAAATTCAGGTTCTTCTGCCACGGATGATGATCTTCAGTTTTCCATTCTCCAAAATTTTATTCAACCTTAGTATTTCTAATTCCTTCTTCTTATCAGAAATATCCTGAAAAATAAATAGATAAAAAATATTCACTATGCAAATTCAGAAAATTATCTGTAAAAGAATACATAAAAAAAAAATAATTTGTTATCCTTCACGCCAATTTTAATTATACAATACATACTGAGAAACAAGTTTGAAATAAAAATCTGTAATACAAATAAATCACATAAGCATACAAACAGTGTATACACTAAAAAATTAAATATTAATGTACCCGCAGGAGCAGCCCAACAGCAACAATTAAGAGAAGGGGGAGGGGGGGGGGCTACCCAAGGCATTTTCTATCATGTAAACAACACTCCCCAAAAATGTAAAGTCTCCTTAAATAATAGATGCGCGGGCAGGGGATGAAAAGTGTTGTTGTTAACGCTTATGTGTAAAGTTATGTATGGTCAGCAAATAATCATAATAATGCGTGATATGGAGCATAAATTTTATCAAGGGCAGGTAATTGGATTACATTTACTTAAATTTCATGTTAGTGGGAGACCCAAAACTAGTGTAGGCTAGGAAACAATGATGTTGTGTTTGTGTGTGAGGGTGTGTGTGTGTGAGGGTGTGTGAGTGTAAGGGGGGTGACCCTTTTTCTTTGAAATGCCCTTTAAACCCACCTCTCAAGGTTAAGTGTGATCTTCGTTCAAAATCACTTTCCTTTATCAAGTAATGTATTCTTCTCAGGATTCACAATAAGAGATGAACCTCCCTGCAAATTAATCAGATATCGCAATATACTTAAAGACTACAAATATTTTATGCCGACCGCTGCACATGGCCGCATTTGCACTTAGACGATAGGCCTAACAATCCTGCATTTCATAAATCATATTATATTATATGTTTCTCTTTCCCCTTTAGCAGTTTATGAAATTTATGAATTATTGGCACAAAATTATCATAAATTAATGTTAAATGTAGTTGCTTTTGGTATGATCTAAAGTCAACGTATTGCCTGGCTATTCGTATTTCTTCTGTGTCGAAAAATATCTATTAGTATGTACGGAATTACTTCATAAATTAAGAAATTGTACAAATGGCAAAGGCACACAGCAATACTGAGGAGCAACACCTAATTCAATTTTTTGATTTGATGCATATAAACATTGCGTGTTTAATATGGATGATTAAACACCCTACTTATTGAACACCAGTTTAAATAGTCGTGTTTATATGTTAAACGCTAATGTTTTGTATTTAAACCCAGCATGTTTAATTGTAAATCACGACTGTTTAAAAATTAAACACAAGTTAAACATCATTTTTACAGTGTAGATATGACTAATAGAAACTATTGACAAAAATTTCTGGAAAATATGAAGAAAATAGTTGAAAAAACTTGTGTTTTTAACTGGGTTTTTATAAAAACGTACCCACCCGGGGACTAAAATGAACAAATTATTCACCTATGGCATTAGTAATCTCATATCATAAAAGAAAGATCATTTTATGAAATATTTTCTCCGATCCAGCCATTTTTATATCTTGTTCATTCATCGGGAAAACTTCACAGCATACGATTGATGTTAAACTTATTCATTCTTACTGTACGCATGCAACTTTGTTCAATACAACTGAAGGTTATTAAGAAAGTGTTTTGAAAAATGACGACGTTTGATGACGTTACAGTGCACCGGAGAGCAGTTCAGTTTGATTTAGATGTAGTAATGACGCCATACCCAGTGATTGCGCTGAATTTAAATTTTGCGCCAATTTATGTACACGTACAGTATTTACTGGAAAATCTTAAACTTAGTCACGTGTAACATCCGAATACTTATTGTACAACTGCATCATCAGCATAATTACCCCAGAACAGAATCATTCTCAAAACTAGAAATATGTCCATAGGACATGAATGCCCCGCCAAGGGTATATTAGTAATGCAACATTTTAACACAAATTGAGAAAAGTGAGGTCAAGGTCAAAGGAAAGGTCAAGGTCAAAAAATATTGCTGCAGTTGAATAGCTTACATCAGTATGTATCAGCATATGACGTTTGATTCAGAAACTAATTTAAGAAAAGTGAGGTCAAGATCAAAGGAAAGGTCAAGATCAAAAAATGTTGATGTAGTTGAAAAGGTTACATCAGTATGTATTAGCATATGAAGTTTGATGAAAATATTATAAATGGTTTCTTTAAAACTGAGCTAAACACTAATTTAAGAAAAGTGAGGTCAAGGTCAAAGGAAAGGTCAAGGTCAAAAAATATTGATGCAGTTGAATAGCTCTCATCAGTATGTATCAGCATATGAAGTTTGACACTAATTTAAGAAAAGTGAGGTCAAGGTCAAAGGAAAGGTCAAGGTCAAAAAATGTTGATGCAGTTGAAAAGGTTGCATCAGTATGTATTAGCATATGAAGTTTGATGAAAATATTATGAATGGTTTCTTTAAAACTGAGCTAAACACTAATTTAAGAAAAGTGAGGTCAAGGTCAAAGGAAAGGTCAAGGTCAAAAAATATTGATGCAGTTGAATAGCTCTCATCAGTATGTATCAGCATATGAAGTTTGACACTAATTTAAGAAAAGTGAGGTCAAGGTCAAAGGAAAGGTCAAAAAATGTTGATGCAGTTGAATAGCTCTCATCAGTATGTATCAGCATATGAAGTTTGATAACACTATCTTGAATGGTATCTTTAAAACTGAGCTAAAACTTATTTAAGAAAAGTGAGGTCAAGGTCAAAGGAAAGGTCAAGGTAAAAAATATTGATGCAGTTGAATAGCTCTCATCAGTATGTATCAGCATATGAAGTTTGTTAAAAATATCTTGAATGGTTTCATTAAAACAGAGCTAAACATTAATTTAAGAAAAGTGAGGTCAAGGTCAAAATAAAGGTCAAGGTCAAAAAAATGTTGATGCAATTGAATAGCTTACATCAGTATGTATCAACATATGAAGTTTGATTACACTATCTTGAATGGTATCTTTAAAACTGAGCTAAACACTAATTTAAGAAAAGTGAGGTCAAGGTCAAAGGAAAGGTCAAGGTCAAAAAATGTTGATGCAGTTGCATAGCCCTCATCAATATCTATCAGCATATGAAGTTTGATAAAAATATCTTGGATAGTTTCTTTGAAACTGAGCTTTGAACAGAGCTAAACGCAAAGTGTGACGGAAGGACAGACGGAAGGACAGAAGGACGGAAGGACGGAAGACGGACATGACAAACACTATATGCCCCGGCCATATTCATGGCGGGGCATAAAAATAAAATGTAAGAAATGTAAGAAGGGGTCCATATTTTCATAAAGAATTACGCCCTTTGGGTTCCCAGGAGCATATTTCAAAATTCAAACATGTGCCTTCATGACACGGCATACCAGATTACAAAAATGCCACCACTTAAGAACATTCCCAATAACAACCTCATTTATTGAACAACTTTTTGAATATTCAAAAAAAAAAAAAATAATAATAATAATAAAATAAAAAAAACCGGCTTCTTATATAATAATTGAAGGGGTAGATGTGCACTCTATTTCAATATTTTTTCACTGAATTAATGACAACATTGGCTAAATTCTTCCCTTAAGCAGTTGTTTGGGAAGGATATTTTTGGTGAATTCTCACATCATTTAGCCTGTTTTATTTTGGCATCCAAATTAAGGAACATTAATTCCAATGTTAGCTTTACTTTTTATACAATCATTCAGACATTAGAGCGATCAACCTTAAAAATCACTTTTCATCCAAATATCTAGCTTGTCTCATTTTAAAAATTCAAGATTCATATAATACAATAAAAACAGAAGTTAAAAGGGTAGCATAACATCTAAAAGGGTGTAAAAGGACGCGTTAAAAGAGGAACAACTCTCAGACAGGAATTTGTTTTCAAGGCAAAGTCTTGTTTGTTAGCACACGTTTTATAAAGAATTGGTGCCATCTGACATCCTCGGTCAGCTCCGGGTGGAAGGCTGTCGCGATGATGTTCTCTTGCTGTACAGCAACAATCACATCCTCGGCTTTCTCCTTTTGTGTAAAGGTAGCGAGTACTTCTACTTTGGGTGAGAGGGTCTGAACTACAGCGGGTGCCCGAATAAAAACGCCGTGATATGTTTTATCACCGGGACACACCTGTGTAAAACTGTCACTGAGATTCACTTCCGCTTCAAAACTGTGCACCTGTCGGCCGAAATAATTTCTTGAGACGTCAGTATCCATCACGTCTAACTGGAAAAAAAATTGAGTTGGATCATCGTACCGATAATTACGTTATCAATACGAATTTTAAATTGATATTTTCTTTTACAAATTAATTTTATCTACAATCAAAAATTGATAGTTCTTTTTTATACGTTATTGATAAATTTACAACTTTCACAGAATGCTGCATTCTTTTGCATCAAATCGCCAAGAGAAATCAAAGTACCAGGGGCGTACATGTACATACTAACGGGATAGGCGACATTTCGCAAGTTGCGGGATTTTGTAAGTTAATTTTTGATTAGATATTTCTCTAATGTTATAAAAACAAAACATTTATTTATCGATAAAAAAAATTATTTATAATTTACTAAAAATTTGCATCTTACACTACCTTATCTTTCGTTTAATTACGTTGTTTTATCAAAATGATCACCAGCCCCTGGTTAGCCGCTGATTGGCCTTATTTCTGAGTTTCCAACGAATGTTGGTGGTTGTTTGCTAAATTTAAATCATTCTCCAATGTTTACTTTTGAAATTTATTAAAAATACACCCCAACTAAAAAAAGAAATAATTACATTACTCAGATGTCAAAAAAAAAAAAAAAAAATTGGAATGAAGCAGTTTGAAAAAAAAAATGCAAGGTCGTGCGTGACGTTTTGGGCGCTGAAGATGGTGCTGAATACGTCTAAACCGTTAGTACATGTATATAAGAATTGCTTTAATAATTTGTCTGTTAATAGACTATGAAAAAATAAATAACTCACTTAAGTCGAACTATCGCTTACCATAGGTTGCCCACCGATTTTCTGATTCTCATTCTGTTTTGCCAGAATTATCATCCCCGCGCATGTTCCCCATGTCACGTGTCTTCTGTTCTGTATCCAGTCTCTCAATGGTTCAATCATGTTATTTCTCTTTAGAAAAAGACTAATGGTTGTGCTCTCGCCTCCTGGAATTATCATGCCGTCGAGGCTGGAGGTCACGTGGCTAGGGTTCCGGACTTCATATGTTTCAATCTGAACAGGAAGTTTCATTTTCTCCTTCGCCTTCAGGAGAGCATTTTTGTGCTCAAGAAAGGCTCCTTGGACTTCTAGTATTCCGATTTTTAAGGACCCTTCTTCTTTGGTTTCCACATTCGATGGCATTATGTCTTCTCCTTAATAAATACACTAAAATTTAATTCAAACGCTTAATGATAAGACTGAAATATGCTTATTGTATGTCACCTTCTGGACATGCCCTCTGTTTATTTACTGTGTATGTATCATAACGTGCTGAAAATTACAATTAAAACTGATTCTAATATATTTACGATTTGAAAGTGGCTGTCGATTAGAAAAAATACAGTTCAACACACTTCTCTTGCTTTCCTATTTCAAAATCGTAACACGACAGATATCTGAATTTAAAACCGGCAATAAACTATTAGCAATCTCTAATACTGAAAAGGAAATTAGCAGGAGTATTTTATTTAAAGCATCCTTATTCTAAAAATCTTATCGCTTTCAGCCCGTCCAAACACATGTAGTCGTTTTAAAACATCAATATCTTCCTGTAAAAGGGATTTTCTTTTCACATCTACATGTATCCAATTAAAAAAAAAATTAGACTAAGCGTTTCGGACAAGTAAAGAATTGTTCCCAAACCTCACCTGGGTCACGTTTGTTAGTGTGACAAATGATAACAGAAATGAAACCCTTACTCTGGCCATTAACTTTCAGGGCAATGATCCATTATTCTTAAAGTTTAGTACATATGTACTTTGAAGTTGGGAGGACATCGGGGGAGAGAATTACAAATTTCCTTTTTTTCTTTACAAAAATAATATATCACTGAAAATGGGTTCGAACTCCCTTAGAAAAAAATGGATATGTCTCAAAATCTTCGACAAGAAAGTACATGTAGGGTACATTTTGAAATGAAGTTACGTTTATCACCTACTTTACCTTACCGAGGCAGTGCTTAAACGAGCATTTCCAATGTTTGTTAGCCTGTCTTCTTTAAGAACTACTGGGACAATTTTCCCATCTTACGATAAATTTGTTATGAACTATTTCATGACGGAATAATAAGAAATGATGAAGATAGTGTAATGTAAAATAAAATTCTGTTGCTGCAGTAGCCCTTGGTCAGAAAAAGATAAAATATATGTAAAAAATGTCTTATTCATTGCAGTACTAATTTTGTTAAAATCGTAAAGGGACCGACTATGAGAAACAAAATTTAAGGTCTTTCATATTACCAATAAGAAGACTTGCACGTATACTTTAATGAATTATTTCATAATTTGAAATTAAAACAATATGTATAACTACACACTTACAAAAAAACTATAATTTTTCTCCAAGGTACGTCCCAGTTTGACTAAATTAAGAGCAACTTACAAATTTAACTAAATACATGTACTTTTGACTTAAGAATATACTTATTTTCAATTAGAGGGAAAATAGCCACAATGTACACCAAAATAGTGTTGTACATACACAGGACCGCAAATAAACAATTCTTACCTGACCTAAATACACAAAAATTATTTTTCCGTTATGACATTCATGAATTATGTATCAACAGATAACGTTTTTCTCACTACGCAGTACTGTCAACTACACACAAGAATACTTAAGATAATTAAATGAAGAAATGTCAAACTTGCTTATCAATAAAAATTTGTAAACAAATTATTTGCCAAAAAACGACTATTGATTAGATAATTTCAACCTGTGAGCTAACAAAATGTACATGGATTTCTGTACTTACAATGAAGGCGATAAAAAGACCAATGAGAGGCTGTCCTTACATAAATAAATAGGTTACAAAACAATTCTTACACAACCGAAAAAGAGGCTGAAAAAATTACGCAAGATTAATCCTGTTACAAAATCATATACTTACACAAGTTTAGGTCAGTTTAAGTCAACAAAAAGACAGGGATAATTGAGGTTACTGCATTGTCAGGTGCGAGGTTAACTACAGACCATATCGGACAAGTGGTCTAATCACGCTCAACAAGAGTACAGTTCACGCACACAGCAGCAGTGATAACGAACTAACCAGGGACTACAGAATGAACGGAAATGTTAATGGTAAGTCCATGAAAGTTTTCTTATTGAATATAAATATTATATTAAACTATTATTTTAAGATGTATGTCAAAGTCATGATCTCCCTTTTTTTCAATAAAGAAAAATATATATATAGAGAGAGAGATAGTTAATGATACTAATTAAATGTAGGGGACACATTGGTTTGTTATCACCGACTAGATCATGTGTTATTGTGCTAAATATGATTAGAACATTGCAGATGACTTTAGGGCAAAATATTTGATTTTTCATAATAAAAATGAACAAACGGAGTAACTGTAAAGAATGTGTAACTTCATGATTTTGCAGGAATTGATTTGGACGTCACAAACCTTAAGTTACAGGATGTCGCAAAAGTTCAACAAACAGGTCAGTCCCTTCTAAAACCAATCATATGCTCTGATACTCTAATAATAGTTTTGATTTGATTTGTATAATTCTTCCAAACAATGTCAATATTGATTGAGTGTCAAAATGTGTGAAAAACACTACTCACCTGTTTGTTTATCACAGGTAACACATAGGAAACACACACATGATTAGTTCAGGTCGTCCAGGTCTCTCTCCAAATGAGGCGAGGGTCAATCAACTTACATGACAAATATGACATCCAAGTTCTTAGCCACAAACGGCTTGATTTTTTGGTCTACTAATTCCAAGTCTAATTAAAATTCATTTTAGGTATTGTTTTTAATGTTAGAAAATCTAAGCTTTTCCAGCACTGTAAAATAAAGAAGACAAGAAGCAATTGAATGAAGTAGAGGGAAAATAGTTTAAAATAAAATACTAGATAAAATCTCTTCATAATTTGAATTCGGAAGCTCCCATGTAATTGAAAGAGACAATTCGAGATATGCTAAGTAAGTTTCAGAAGGCAAGATAGAATGTGACACACTGCATATGAGATCATGTGTATCTAGAGGAGAGAGACTGGTCATTGTGCACTTATAAGTATTCGGTCTCCCTTCGGTGGATGAATTTAGACCATATGCCGTTAAATATTGCACACAGGTGTTTGTAGAAATCCACCTCTCAAACGTATTTCAAAATTTTTACGGACTCATTGATGTTTTTGTCGTGGCACTTCGTGTCCAAGAATATTTGAATGTGTAGGTGTCTTGTTTCGTACATGTACCTGGAGTAATTGTGAATTTAAATAAAAACAAGTATATTGGATCGATTTCCCTTTGGTTTGGCTTGTCCAAAGGCATATTTCATCAAAGTTAAACTGTTTCGAATGCTAATCCTCACTTTGTCAAAGGTCCCTGTTAATTAATGTCCTTGGACTTATCCGCATGCTTACATTTTATAATATCAATGACTAACTGAAACAAGAGATTCAAAATGTGAATTCTTTTTCTCTGAGGGCATCCAGTATTTTGGATGTCCTTGAAATCAAAACATGTACCCATAACTCTGGGGGAAAAACCCCCAATACATCAACTTTTACATAATGATATACATCGGAGGAACACTTGGAAAATTAAATAAAATGATTGTGACTATGATCGGAAAAAAAAAGTGACACTTTTTATTCAATCATGTTAAAACGATCACATATATTTGGAATTGTAACTATCGTAGGGGAGAGAATTATGGCGGACACCGCTTCGCTTGTAGCGTATATGTTTAAAACTTTTCAGTTTGCACGATAGCTTTAATCTGCATTTTGGTCAAAACTACTGCACGTGTGAATATTTTCTTCTAGTCATGATTAAAATTACTTCTAGTCCATGGACTTAAAATATATCTTCTCTGGATTTTCAATGAGAAAGGCCATGCACGAAGATATACATGTAAATGATATACAGTCCCGTTTTAACTATTGTGATGCAAATATAAAAGTTCAAAAATTGGATAAATAATTCATAAGCCAACTTGGTATATTGTTCAGGTACCTTCAAGGTCAAGGCAGGACTCGCTCAGATGGCAAAGGGAGGTATTATAATGGATGTAACGACAGCGGAGGAAGCACGAATCGCCGAGGAGGCGGGGGTAATTATAATGTATAGCCAAATTTAGAATTAAGATCAAGGTTAAAAGTAACATTGTATTAAGATAAACTCACTCTATACATTCGAGTATTTACACTGATTAACGTAGCAAGTAACACGTCTATTTTTGATTCACATTTTATGTAATAACATTTGAAAGTGGTTCAAAAATGAAATATCATAATTCATGTTGAATCTATATCTCAGGCATGCGCTGTGATGGCTTTAGAAAGAGTTCCAGCTGATATTCGCCGTCAAGGAGGAGTTGCCCGGATGACAGATCCAAAGGTTATTGACTATAACTGATATTATTTCACTACAAATATTAAATTTTAAAATTGCAATAATTTCTTTCAAAAGTCGTGCTGTATATAATTATGCTCTTTTTTCCTTAACCTTTTTTTAGCTCACCTGAGCCAAAGGCTCAAGTGAGCTTTTCTGATCAAAATTTGTCCGTTGTCTGTCGTCGTTGTCGTTGGCGTTGTCGTTGTCATCGTTGGCGTAAACTTTTCACAATTTCAACTTCTTCTCCAGAACTACTGGGCCAATTTCAACCAAACTTGGCACAGAGTCAGAGAGTATCCTTGGGTGAAGGGGATTCAAGTTTGTTCAAATGAAGGGCCACGCCCTCTTTCAAGGGGAGATAATAAAGAATTAGTGAAAAATTAATAGCATCTTTTAAAAATCTTCTTCTCAAGAACCACAAAGCCAGGGAAATTGAAACTCATGTGGAAGCATCCTCAGGTAGTGTAGATTCAAATTTGTTCAAATCATGACCCCCGGGGGTAGGGCAGGGCCACAATGGAGTTTCAAAGTTTAACATAGAAATATGTAGGAAAAACCTTCAAAAATCTTCTTTTCAAGTACAGCAAAGCCATGATAAGTCATATTTATATGGAAGCATCCCCAGGTAGTGAAGATTCAAGTTTGTTCAAATCATGACCCCCGGGGGTAGGGCGGGGCCACAATGGAGGATCAAATTTTAACATACAAATATATAGGAAAAACCTTTAAAAATCTTATTCTCAAGAACAGCAAGGCCATGATGAGTCATATTTATATAGAAGCATCCTCAGGTAGTGTAGATTCAAGTTTGTTCAAATCATGACCCCGGGGGATAGGGCGGGTCCACAATGGAGAATCAAAGTTTTACATAGAAATATATAGGAAAAATATTTAAAAATCTCCTTCTCAGGAACAGCAAAGCCCTGATAGATCATATTTATGTGGAAGTATCCTCAGGTAGTGTAGATTTAAGTTTGTTCAAATCATGACCCCCTGGGTAGGGCGGGGCCACAATGGAGGATCAATGTCTGAAATAGAAATATATGGGAAGGTATCTTCTGATGAAGAACCGCAAAGCCATGATTAGTCATTTTGATAGGGAAGCATCTTCTTCTCAAGAAATGAAAATCATGTTTAGTCATTTTGATATGGAAGCATCCTCAGGTAGTGTAAATTCATTTTTTTTTCAAATGATAACCCCCAGGGGTAGGGTGGGGCCCAATGGGGATCGAAAGTTTTACATAAGAACACATAGAAAAAATATTTCTTCTCAAGAACAGAAAAGCTATGTTTAGTCATATTGATATGGAAGCATCCTCGGGTAGTGTAGATTCAAGTTTGTTCAAATGATGACCTCTGGGATAGGGAGGAGCCACAATGGGGGATCAAAATTTTACAAAGGAATGTATGGGAAATTTTTTAAAAAATCTTCTCAAGTACAACAAAGCCATTTGTTATATTGACATGGAAGCATCATCAGGTAGTTTAAAATTCACACCCCCCCCAACCCCCAGTAATCTTTTCAATACTGAACTGATTTGTGTCTAGCTAATGTGCTCAGGTGAGCGATGTGGCCCATGGGCCTCTTGTTTTCGGATTTATTTCCTACTACATGTACATGTATTCAGAATACGTTCCTGGTACTTTTCCCCAAGATATAGTATAAAGCCTTTGTTTATTGATTGTAATTTACCCTGTACTTTTTTTGTGTTGTAGTTAATCAAAGAAATCATCGCTGCTGTTACTATCCCTGTCATGGCGAAGTCGAGGATCGGTCATTTTGCCGAAGCCCAGATCCTGGAATCCCTTGGAGTAGATATGATCGACGAGTCTGAAGGTAGACAAAGCTGACTTTGTATAGACTGAGTGCATTATTGTACATGTACCTTCGAGATGTATTTGAAGAGAACAATCTTAAAAAGAATACATAAACTAGGAAGTTTATTTGATTAATAGATATTTTTAGTTGCACAGTTTTGTACATTAAAGCTAAAATGCAGTGTAAAACGTGTAAGATATCTATCTGTTTGGCCTATACTCTTCAATAACTCAAAATTCAGAGTTCCAGAAGCCACTAGCAAGGCATTATAAGGATTTGTGCTACAGTTACATTGTAATTTGTTTAATGTTGATCTCGAAGTCAATTTTGATTTATTTTCATTTCAAATGCTTCTTAAAATATATTTTCTTCATCAGTACTAACCCCAGCAGACGAAGTAAACCACATCAACAAACACGACTTCAAAGTCCCGTTCGTGTGTGGTGCACGAGATTTGGGCGAGGCTTTACGAAGAATCTCAGAAGGTGCCGCCATGATAAGAACAAAAGGAGAAGCAGGGACAGGTAATTGAATTCAAATCAGTGCAGTACAAAATAAGACATAATAACATTAACATTGCTTTTTTTTAATTTTCTTTTTTCATTTCTTTAACCAGGATTATTTCCCTAGCTTTACATTTTTAGACCAGAAATATATTTTGCTATCTTTGAATATGCATTGTGCTACACATATTAATAAAAATTTAGATAGTTATAAACTATTTAAATGAAAATGATAAACGGTATAGAGTGAATTTTGATTCTACAGGCGACGTTTCACAGGCTGTAAAACACGCCCGAACAATCAGCAAACAAATAAAAATTGCTCAGGCTATGGACTCTACGGAAATCTTCAATTACGCAAAAGAACTTCGAGTTCCGGTGGAGCTGCTGAAGAAAACAGCAGAACTAGGCAGACTTCCTGTTGTCAATTTTGCTGCTGGGGGACTAGGTATATCTACTTCTATAAAACTTTCATATCCTCCTAAAGATTTAAAAGAAACCATATTTGAAGTGAGACTTTTATTAAATTGTGTACTAATGAATATTACACAAAATATCAAGAAACAAAGGGTCTGTATGGAACTTTAAAACCGACTAGTACTCATTTGGTATACAAATGTGAAAAAATGTTTTGCTTTAAAATCGTGATGTATACTATAATTTCTAAGCCAAACAGACATTTTCCCAAGAACATGCTAAACTTATTTTAAGTCTGAATTATTCAACGCTCATTACAGCGACCCCTGCAGATGTGTCGCTAATGATGCAGCTAGGTGTGGATGGAGTCTTTGTGGGGTCAGGAATCTTTAAGAGCAGCAACCCGCCAGTTCGTGCTCTAGCCATGGCGCAGGCTGTCACACATTACAAGGAACCTGCCATTCTGGCGCAAATCAGCTCTGGACTAGGGGAAGCTATGTTTGGAACGCCAGCGGCAGACATAGAACTGAAGAAAAAGTTGGCAGGAGTTCCACCGGAAAAACAGGAGATCTGGAATTCCACATTGGGTGTGAAATGAGGATTGCTGATGAAAATTATTGTACCTACTGCATCCAAGTTGTAGGGAATTAACTGTTTTCAATGTATTTTTTATGTATCTGTATAAATTAGTATGTCTGTATGCAGATTCTGTTAGTCTGTATGAATGTGCTGTTTTTTTGTATGAATGCTGTGTCCGTCTTTATGAACCAATGCTTACATCTAACATGCACTTTACACCTGATTTACAATGCTAAAAGACAGTATGTATGTAAAGTTTTGTGACATACCATCCAAAAATAAATGATATTGTCTGTTGCTGTAGCATACGTTGGACTTGCATTTTACACCCAAGAGACTAAAGAATAGAATTAACCAATTAACCAAATCCCAGCTTATCACGAAGAATTTACGATTTTTGAAACCTTGGTGATTTTGTGCATCAATGGATGCAAATTTTGTCTCCACAGCATCGGTTCCTTTTCGAAAATTTAAGTTTTCTCTGTCATCAAAAAACATTGTAATGTGTTTTGTACATGTAGCAAATTGATCTGTATGCAGTAATATATTGCATTCGTGTTTTCTTTGTTTCTGTTTTGAACATATTTTATTGAAATAACCAATAGGATCAGAACCAAGTTCTAACAACTTAACCAGTTCCTCTCCTTACATATAACACATAGTTGTCATGCAAAATATTTCAAAAACCTATTCAAATAAACTAATTATTATAAAGCTATTTCATCCTATAGGATTCAACAATAAATCTGTAAATGGCGGTAAAAATGCCCTTGTTCAGCTCTAGTGATATGTTTTCATTGCCCCAAAGTACTAGGTGAACTTCTGTGATATCTAGATCATGTTTAAAAAAGTTCTCGAAAAGATCATTTCTAGCATTGAGACATTTTCTACAATCATGAAATGGAAGGCATTTTTTTGTTTACCACAAGAACAATTTGGAATGTCAATAATATTACGTTTGTATAAATCTTGATTGACAAATAAATGCAGTTACATGTATGCCTTAAGAAGATGGGCGAATAAGGCGAGCGAAATGCCTATAGTGCGACAATATTGAAGTGAAAAATTAAGTCTCAAATATATCGAAATTTTCAGAGATATTTCATCTAACATTAAAGTATATTTTATGCAAAATCTCCACAATTTCCAAATGATTCACAATGAATGAACTTATTTGTCTATGATAAATGAAATAAAGATCATTTTCTCTTATTATAACACGATTTTCCCGTATGAGTGGGTCTTTGCTCCATTTTATTTATTTATTTATTTTGAATTTTTGTCCCCAAAGTATGCATAAAAATGAATGGAGCAAAGACCCATTTTACCTCAAAAATGTATATATTTCCGGGAAATACTTGAAGTCCATTTAGTCAAGGGTCATATCACAAACAAGATTTAAGTACCGTGATTAATCAGGAGTTGTAATGGTTAGCGTGTTAATCTCAAGGAAAATGATACTCAGGATTTTTATTGCTAGGGTTCTAACCTCAAAAATATCACATAATTTTTTAAATAATAAAATAATTTTTTGCGAAAAAGTATGATTTTTTATAGGTAAATCTATATGGACCCAATACAGATCAGCCTGATTTTTATAGTCTGATCAGAGATGAAATTGAGAAATTCCAGGGTGAGTTTGTGTTAATGGGAGGAGATTTTAATTTAATTCAAGACTTTACTCTAGATTGCTATAATTATCGTAACCTTAATAACCCTAAAGCAAGAGAGACCTATGTGACCCCTGGAGGACTAAATATAATAATTCTAGAAGATACACTTGGTTTAAAAACAATCCAGTAAAAAAGGCCAGACTTGACTACTTTCTGATATCAAATGAATTAATGGCCTTTGTAGATAAGGTTGATATAAAGTCGGGGTACAGAACTGATCACTCAATTATTGAACTTCATATTTTATTTTCAGATTTTAAGATGGGTAAAGGGTTCTGGAAGTTTAATAACTCTCTCTTAAAAGATGAAAATTATATAACTTTAGTTAAAGAAACAATAAATAGGATTAAATTTCAGAATGCAGTGGCACCATATAATCGTGCAATGATTAAGGATATAGAAAACGCAAAAATTAATTTTACGATAGAAGATCAATTATTCTTAGAAATGCTGTTACTTGAGATAAGAGGTACTACTATAAAGTATTGTTCTAGAAAGAAAAAGAAAAGAGACAGAGAAGTAAATCTTTTAGAAGAAGAAATACAAGAATTAGAAACCATCAGGAATTTTAACAATTCTCACGAAACTGATGAAAAACTTTCTACTGCAAAATCTAAATTGGAAGAACATAGAAAACATCATATAAATGGTCTGTTTGTAAGAACAAAAGCTAAATGGGTAGAATATGGTGAGAAACCTATAAAATATTTCTTGAGTCTAGAAAAAAGGAATTATATCAATAAAACAGTAACAAAACTAATTAATGATAATGGTTTAGCAATTACCTCGCAACAAGAAATCCTGAAAGAAATTGAAAATTTTTATCTTAATTTATACTCCTCCTGTGATAACACTTTGCTAGATATAAATTTAAATAATTTGATACTTAAGGACAATATTCGCATCTTAAATGAGGAGTCAGCTTCCAAATTAGAGGGTCTGATAACCAAGGAAGAAGCATCACTGGCATTGAAAAATATGAAAAATGACAAGAGTCCCGGTAGTGATGGCTTCAACGTAGAGTTCTTTAAATTTTTTTGGAAGGATATTGGAGATTTTGTACTTCGATCTATTAACTTTGGTTTCTTGAAAGGAGAATTATCTAAAACACAGAAACAGGGAATTTTGTCCATATTACCAAAAGGTGAAAAACCAAGGGAATATTTAAAAAACTGGAGACCTATTTCTCTCCTTAATGTTTCATACAAAATTATATCAGCATGTATTGGAAATAGACTTAAAAGTGTTTTAGATTATTTAATCCATGAGAACCAAAAGGGGTTTTTGAAAGGAAGATTCATAGGAGAAAATACTCGACTTATATACGATGTTCTACATATTACAAAAGAAAAACAAATCCCAGGGATGATGTTACTTATAGATTTTGAGAAAGCTTTTGACACTATTTCCTGGAGATTTATGTACAAGACTTTAGAATTTTTTAACTTCGGTCATGATTTTATAAGATGGATTTCAGTTTTATATAAAAATACCACATTATGTGTTTTACAAAATGGTATTTTTTCCAGATTTTTTTGCATAGGTAGAGGGTGCCGCCAAGGAGACCCTGTCTCACCATATATTTTTAATCTGTGTGTCGAGATAATGGGTCACCTTATAAGACAAAATAAAAATATAAAGGATATAAAAATTGGTAAGGAAAAAGTATGCTTATTACAGTATGCAGACGATACAGTTATATTCTTGGATGGATCAGAAAAAAGTTTGAAGAGTGCATTAGATCTTCTTTTCCAGTTTGCTAAATTTTCAGGTTTAAAGCCTAATCTTTCTAAGACTAAAGCCATTTGGATTGGATCAAAAATTAACTGTAATGACAATCTGTGCAAGGAATATAATTTAGAGTGGACATCTGAGACCTTTACAATATTGGGAATAACATTTAATGCCAGTCTGGACAACATTGAAAAGATAAATTTTATTAACAGAATTAATGATATGAACAAAGAAATGAGCCACTGGGAAAAGAGACATATTACACCTCTTGGTAAAATTACAGTTATAAAATCTCTTCTTCTTTCAAAAATTACACATTTATTGTTAACGTTGCCAAAACCAAGTGATGAAACTATGAAAAACCTTGAGAAATCTTTTTGTTTGTATGGAACAATAAAAATGATAAAATGGCTCGAAATATGATGATTTTAGATTTTGATGATGGTGGCTTTAGAATGCCACATTTGCCAACATTTATTAAGGCACTTAAGCTTACTTGGATCAGGGGGTTAATACATACAGATTCTACCTAGTCTAGAATATTTATGGAATCTACAGGCTGTAATATTACAAAACTCTTACAGTTTGGATCAGAATATGCTTTATATTTTAGTAAAACAACAAATAATATGTTTTGGAAAGAAGTTCTTTCTGATTATAAAGAATTTATTAATTTATTTGAACCTGAAAATATTTTTCAGGTTATGAATGAACCTCTGTGGTTTAACAGTAGTATCAGAGTACAAAATAAGTCTGTTTTTTACAAACAATTATATGCAAAAGGTTTTCATATTGTGTCTGATCTATTGGATACTGAAGGCAAATTGTTATCTTTTAATTGTATATCCATTAATTATGATGTTTTGATTCCATTTACTAATTATGAAGGGTTTAGACTTTCCATTTTGAAAAAATGGCCTGAAGTTAAACAAAATAGAACATCAGTTATTGGAATATCTATTCCTACACATATTCGGTTCCTTTGTCGTGATGGTTATGGCTGTAAATCGTTATACAACTTCTTTCTATCCAAGCGTTATAACCAACCAGTATGTTTAGCAAAATGAACAAGAGATTTAGGGTTGCAGAATGACTTTAACTGGAAAGATCTTTTTACAAATTTAAAATACATAACTAAAGATTCAAACCTCAAATGGTTCAATTATAAGATCATACATAGAATTCTTGGAACTTGTAAATTATTGTTTTTATCTAAAATTAAAGATAACCCACTGTGCTCTGTCTGTAATCTTGAGCAGGAAACTTTGAAGCATCTTTTTTATTACTGTCATCCTGTTAAGGGAATATGGGATTGTTTCGAAGAATGGATTTTAGAAAAAACTGGAAAAAATATAAACCTAGACCCAATTTCTGTTCTATTAGGTATTTCTGGCAAAGGAAATACAGCTTTAAATGTCATTATCTTGCTTGTTAAACATTATGTATACCAAAAATCTAGAAATTGTAAACCTTTGATATTTGATGAAGTTAAAAATATTATATGTAAATACTATACTTTTGAAAAATATTTGTTTGCAATAAATATGGAGGGCATTCAGTTCAAAAAGAGATGGTTATTTTGGAACCATTTATTTGGAATTATATATATATATATATATATATATATATATATATATATATATATATATATATATATATATATATATATAATATAATATAATATAATATAATATATGTAGGTGATACTCTAAGTGAATGAGTGAGAAGAAAGAATCGGAGAGTGAATGTTTAGTAAAAATCCGCAATGTATATCTGTATGAATATACTTTTATATGAATATTGAAAAGGGGAAATTAAAAAAAAAAAGGAATAATTTTTTGACGAAATTTAAAAAAAATTAATAATAAGAACTTTAATCTGAATAGCAAATTCACAAATCTAACAATTAGTATGAAAAGTCAGTCAGCATTTGACTTAATGATAAGTTGTATTTGCTGACAAGGTCATTGTATCGACCATTGAACTTGCAAAATGATGACTTCAAACCAGACTGTTGATATCCTTGTTCCATCAACTTGTTTGTCGATAGCTTGCCTCGTTTTAGAAATTGTTCATACGTAAAGCATGCTCTTGTGTATCGAATGAACTGGGAGACAAAACCCTTATGCAGGTGTTTAGGGTATATTGCTACA